CGGATGTCGGATGAAGAAGTTATGAGGATTTAACGGATCAATCGTGTCCCGGCCCATTAATAATATAAAATTTAAAATCGAGCCAAAATTAGCCGACGAAGTCTAAACGAAAGTTGTAGAGTACGTTCCCACCTTCGCGTGGATATAAAGAACGTCAAAAACGGAGCTCGTATGCGAAAGTTACGAATTTTTGAAGTTTGAACTCGAAAATGCGAACTGTGCGAATCGGGTGACGTGGCCGATCAGAGCCGTCGCTTGCGGCCCACGGTCTCGCTCGGATAGCGACACGTCGCTCCTCGCTACGCCCAGCGTTCGGTTCGTGCGCCCCGCGTCCGCTCGCTCTCGGTCCAGAAGGCGCCACGACCCTCGCCTACGCCCCGTACGAGGACCGGTACGCCCCGCGTACCTTCGCTTCCCATCCGCCGTGTGCGAAAGCTGGCTGCGAGCTGGCACCCTTATCCGAGAGAACGCCGCGTAGCTGCTGAACGCCCCGCGTACCGCCGAGGCCTCGCGGCTATAAAAGGAGGCCGAGGCTGCCTCATTTTTCACACCAAAATCTCATTCTTTCTCTCACTACTTTCTCTCTCTACAACCCCAAACCACCCCTAAGCCCTAGTTGAACCCCTAGCACCCTAAGGAAGCCCCGAGGCTCCCGGAGTCCCGAGAAAAAGGAGTTTTTCGGTTTCGAAACGCTGCTCCAATTGAGTCCCGGTTTTCGATAAAATTCGCTGTAAGTATGCTACGCTTACGCAATTTTTAATATAGCTTCCAAATAATTATAGGAATGTTATTAGGTCCTTAAAATAATTATTTGGGCTATTATTATGAGTTATATTGAGCATTATTAATGCTTAATAATAGTCAGACTAATTAATTTATCGCGGTTATCATTAAACTAAACCCTAGTGATATCGATACTAGGTTTTATCGAAGGAATATCATTTTAAGAGTATCGAAGCGCTGTCCGAGTGCTGAGTCACCACCTAATCAGGTGAGTGCATAGTTACCTTCAACTTACACATAGATATGAAGTATTTTACGTGCTATGTGTGCATATTATCTGAATACTTGCTATCTATGCTAGATGAACGTTGTTATACATGTTTTCAATGATTTAAACTGTATATGTATTTTATATCTACGAAAATGTTGGGGTAAAACATGGGTAGATGTAATAGGTGATGTGTGATAAAATGATGAGAGGCCTCGATGTTGTTGTTGTTGATCCAGTCATCTAGCGGAGTATAGATGACGACCACGGACTCTTCTAGACAGTCCAGTGGAACACTAGCAGGCTCGCAACCTGTAGGTGTTGTGAACGATGTGTTCACCGGTGTACTCCATCCCCCACATGGTTGCCTATTAGGACATTTATTGCTGAGGAATCCCCTTAGCAGTAGTGTCCATCCCGATGATGATCCTTAGGCTAGGTCCCTTATGATAGGTGTTTAGGGACGTAAAGTGAGGATAACGGGAACGGGTAATCGGGTTATTGTTGATTGATGAAATTAATAAACTTATTTATTGTGGGTTGAAAACCCTATGTGCTCACCAGGCTCCCAAGCCTGACCCACTCAGTTTTATGTATTACAGGTAGTGGCGCATGAGCATAGGTGTGATGTTTTGGACGAGGGATTACGGATATAGGCCTATAGATATGAAATAATGTAGTAAGGCTTATATTGTACTGTTTATACTTTTGATCTGTACGAACATGACATCCCGAGTCTTCTAATGAATACATTTCTATGGAAATGCTTTGATAAATCTTTATCATATTATTGTTTTGGGACAAATTCCGCAAACCTTTTATTAAAAGATAACTCTGATTTTGAAATAAAGTATAAACAAAACCGGTCTTTTCTGGCCGTGATTTTGGGGATGTCACAGTATGTGTTATGTGGATTGTGTGTGGGGTATGCTCTGGAGGACTCACTAATCTTTGTGCTTATGGTTTACAGTTTTGGTTTCAGGTACCATCGATGGGAAAAGAAAGGCTCGCATTGATCGCAATGCACACACCTATGATTTCCGCAATAAATGATTTTGGAATGAACTCTGATAAATGTTTTACTTAATGAAGATTCGAAATGTTTGAAACCAATGGTATCAATGTTTTAGTTATATTAAAAATGAAATTTTTACCCTTGATTTTTGGGTCGTTACAAATAACCAGTTCTCCCCCACTTGGGGTTCAAACTACCATCTGCTGACGCTCGTGGTCAATCATAGCACCAAATCTTCTCAAACAATCTATCTCTCCTATCACGCACACATCCCCCATGGGAATGGGAATCAAATCAATCGGATAAGGTACCCAAAAAATCTCAAAGACACAACCCCGATAAACACTCGATGTCGAAACCTTGTGTTTGTTGGCGATAGAAACTCGCAATAGACTCTCCAACTCTCCAAGAGTCATACCATACCCCTACTAAAAGACCGAGATACAAAAGATTGACTTGCACCCAAGTCCAATAGCATAAGAGCAAGCAATGAATTCACTAAGAAGGAACCTAACAAAATCATAAACATAAGCATACTATAAAACAACTGACAGAATAATAAATAGAAACATACCAGTAATGACATCTGGTACCGCCCTGGCCTCCTTTGTCGTAAGATGGAACGCACGACCCCGAGCCTTCGAGGGCTCCACCCTAACCTTTCGTCCATCTGTGATCCTAGGAGAAGTAGTGACAGGTGCCTACACAAGCCTAGCGGCAAGTAAGGGATAGTTGGCCTTTATATAGCTCACCTGCTCGCAATGATAACAAATCATGGGACCCACAGGCGGGACCTAAAGACGACAATCCCTCATGTAGTTTCCCTCCTTGCCACATTTGTGGATACCAGAAGAAGAAGAAGAAGATCGACAAACTCCATCATGAACCTTGACGCACTTTCCAAAAGTACGACCCCTCGGACCTCCTGATTGCGACTCAGTGGGTTTGAATCTCTTCGCCACGGGTTGGGATTGAACCGGAGCCTAATGTAGTTCCCTATTTTGTGTCTCAATCTTAATTTCTCTCCTCCTCGCGGCCTCCTGGAGCTTAGCGAGGGTGTCGTATCGTTGGGTAAACACAAATTGTCAAATATCCATCTTGAGCATGCTCAAGTATCGAGTCATCTAAGCCTGCTCCAAAGCAGCGAACTCAGGACAAAACAGGGCCCTCTCAGTGAACATCTTGTGATCTCTATCACCATCTTAGTCGTCTTCCTCAAATCCTGGTACTCCTGGGCTAGTCTCTCATTCTCCACAAGGGAACACACCTCGTACGGAACATCTCCGAGAACTGCTCCCAATTCATCGCAAATCTCTACTCAAGAGTGTAAGAATCAGTCACCAATTGTTAGGTTCATTTTTACGTATCATTTTAGTACATCTTGTTAATCATTTTCACGATATATTATGTATATTTAGTATGCATTTCATACATTTTTATTACATCGTTAGTTTTGGAAAATTTTACTCGTTTAAGCTTAATTTGTGCAGATTTATGTAAGTGGATAATAATATTTTTGAGGACCGATACAAGTCACATGGAAGGCCTTGCGTTCACGATTGAAGTTCCATGACAACATCCACGATAAAGCAATAAAACGAAGCGATTTAAGATTTTTTGGAAATTTGGCAGCAATGCGCAGTCTTCATAAAGTGATTGGATCGAGGGGTAAACGTAGTCCGATTGAGCTAAAATTTTAGTGGGGTCTTCAATCTGAACGGTGGAGATTGGATTTGAACGAAGTTTGATGCACATTTTGGTTCTTGAGAACAGCAGCAATGAATCTGTCATATATGAGAAAATGGAGCCCACTTTTGTAATCTAAGATTAGCCCAAGCTCATGTATTGTGCAACCCAAATCGTGTAAAAAAATGCACAAACAATTTAGTGTTGTTTGGCTGAATTTTAACAATCCATGCTAATATACTCAATAGCCCAAGATCAGATTTAAGACCCATTGTTATAGCAAACATGTCTCGATTATTAGGCATAAGATTAATTCAGCCTGAAAAAAAAAAACAAAACAAAAAAAAGGGGGGGGGGGGATTAGTTATTTAAAAGAGGGGGCACGCATTTTTCTTTGGGGGAGTTCGTGGGGACGCACGGCAAAAACAGAAAAAAGAAGAACGAGAAGGCCATTTGAGGGTTTTCTAGGTTTCAAGCATCAAAACAATACTGTGAATTCTTTTAGTAAGTTTTATTTTTCGATAATTGAATTGTAGTTTCCGGGGGTTTAGCCGTCTTAAATGGCTAAACCACTAGGTTTGATGTTTGAATTAGTTTAATTATTTAGACTCGTTTTAGTAGTGGAGGCACGGAGGGACTGAAGATGAGAGGGAAAACATAAAAAAATATATAAAATTTATGTGTCCCGAACTTTCGAGCGCTCTAAAAGTCTTTTCTATTAATCCCCTTTTATATACCCTGCTTGGGAACATAGTTTTCAGCTATACCTACGGGTCTTTGCATGTTAACTTCAGTCCCCCAAAAAATGTCTAGAAACCCCTCACGGTAATAGACCGTGAGATGTCCCACAATAAAAAAGTCAAGGATGAAAATATAAAGAAATAGGCCAAATAAATAAATTAATAAGAGTGTTATGTGTTATCTTAGTTAAAAAATAAAAAATAATAAAAAATAAAATAAAATGTTATTAAGTTAATCGGGTGATGTATAGGCCCTATAATGTTTCTAGGGTTGACCCATTTAGCCAGTTAACTTATTTTGTGGCTTAATAAGGGAACGAATTAGTCTTTGTCGGGTCGATTAAGTCCTTATTTCAATTTTGAAGGGGTTAGCCGATCATTTTAAGTCCACCTCCTTCTACTAACACCACATCGGATGCTGACTGTGACTTTTGTCTAATGTCATGTCATTAATTAGTCGCCTCCTTCGTAATGTTCGTATATGCTTTATAAAAGATCCCTTTTACATCCACTGTTCAACACTTCATCGGTAAACCCTTTTTCATGAGCTACTTCTAAATCCTCAAGCATGAAACCCGTATTCTTACTAGTAGATGTCCACTTCCAAGGAATGTTCGCCAGAAACCCCATACGCTACACCAGTGGAATTACTCAGAGGTTTTCGGACATTGATTTCGCAGGAATGGACAAGGATGGGTGTGTTGCGTTCATCGAAAGGTTCACTGGGGAAAAGTGTGAGAAGCTCTATTACTGCCAACCTGATATTGATTTCCCAAAAGGTTTGACTCTAATTTGCAATGACCCCGATTATTACGACTTCATTTAAATTGCATATGAATGTGGTGTTATACTCCCTATGTATGTAGACCATTTTGGGGATAGTAACATACAGGAATGGTTGGATGAACACAAAGACGAGTTTGTTGGTAACGTTGAGGAAGAAGTACTTGATGGTGCAGGACTGGTTAAGGAAGTTGCACCAGGGTATCGGGATGTGGGTGACAGTGACACGAACGATGAGGTACAGAATGGCGATGATGATGACGACGAGGATGAGGATGTCGATGGCAATGAGGATGACCATCAGAAGCCTCATTTTTTTATAAAGGGTAATGAGAGTCAGGTAGAGATGGGTGAGAAAGCAGGTGCAGGTGAGTTTTTCGAAGAAGACATGGGTGACAATGAAGATGTTTATCCTGAATTGCCAAACATTTTCAATGATAAGCTCAATTGGAAGGAGCAGGAACTTGTTTTAGGTATGAGGTTTGAGAGTCCTAAGCAATTGAAACACATGCTTTGTAACTATGCTGTCGCGAATGGTTATCAATTATGTTTTGTTAAGAATGATACTAGACGATTACTTGTCAAATGTTGTGATGGCAAATGTACTTTTAGGCTTTAGGGTTCTTGGATGAGTGAAGATAAGTCTTTCCAGATAAAATCTCTTATCGGTGAGCATAATTGTGCAAAGAATTTCAAATTCGGATCAATTGTGACTTACAAATGGATAGGGACCCACTTTAAGCACCAATTTTATAACAATCAAAAGATGAGCGTCCGAATGCTTAGAGAGGAGGTAAAAGATAAAATACTGAGTCTAGTTGAAGGGACAATAGCTGAGAATTATGGAAGATTATGGTCATATGGTGAGGAGATTAAAAGATAAAATACTGGATCCAAAGTTAAAATTTGTGTTGATTCAATGCCTGATGGTAAGAATTATTTCAGCAAAATATACATATGTTCTGCTTCAGTAAAAGAGGGATGGAGGGGAGGATGTAGGAGGATCATTAACCTGGATGGTTGTTTTCTGAAAACTTTTTGTCAAGGGGAGTTACTTTGTGCTGTGGGTAGAGATGCTAACAATGGAATATTCCCAATTGCTTGGGCAGTTGTTTCTGTGGAAAACAAAGAGATTTGGTAATGGTTCTTAGAAACTCTTTCAAAAGATTTGCAATGTTGGAATGATGGTAATGGTTTGGTTCTAATTTCAGATCAACACAAGGTATGGTTCAAAACTATTGCATGTTTTAAATTTAGTTATTGCTATTCGAATTTCAAACATTATTGTGACTTATGTAGGGTTTGATTGAGGCAGTAAAGGAAGTATTTCCAGCAGCCGAACATAGGCAGTGTGCTAGACATATCTATGCAAATTTTAGAAAGAGATTTAGTGGATCCAAGTTTGAAAATATGTTTTGGAAAGCGAGCAAGGCAACAACTGAAGCACAATTTAATGTAGTTATGAAAGAGATTGGAAAATTAAATCCGGAAGTAGTTGTGCATCTTATGGCTAGAGATCCAAAGACTTGTTCTTTGGCTTTTTTCATAGTTCATAATTCTTGTGAGTCAGTAGAGAATGGTTTTCAGAGAGTTTTAATAGTGTGATTTTGGATGCCCGGAAGAAACCAATAATAAGCATGTTAGAGGACATTCGTATATATGTGATGCAAAGGATAGTGACTATGAAACTAACCGGACAAGGATAGAATGCTTATTATGTTTGTCCAAACATCAGAATACGGTTGAATATGCTCCAAACTGAGCAAAGGTTTGTAAATTTATCCAATTACATTAGTACTTTACTCTTCACATCTCATGATATTTGCGGTTTTCATCTATATATGTAGGCATTGGCATGTCATTTCTTGTGGGGGGGGGGGGTGAAGTTTGAGGCAAGGAAGATGGACGAGGCATTTATTGTGGATGTTGAAGAAAAGGAATGCAGTTGCAGGCTATGGCAACTTAATGGATATGGCTGCATACACTCAGTTGCCACCTTAGCCTACTTAAATTTGACACATGACGGTCCATATGTAGATCCAATGTACTTGGCTGCATTATACCATAATACTTACAAACAGCCAATCCATGGGATGAATGGACAAAATATGTGGCCTTCTACTGACTTGATACCCCCTTTGCCTCCATTAAAAAGACGTATGCCAGGAAGGCCAACCATAAAGAGAATAAGAGATGCTTCTGAACAGATGGGAAAACATATCGTCTGCAAGGCAGGGAAGAAAGTTTCTTGCAGAATATGCAAGGAGAAAGGACACAACAAGGCTACTTATAGTAAAGGTGTAGGAACATCCAAACAAAATGGAACAAAGAAACAAAAAACTATACCTACACAGGAGTCTGTAAACGTTGCCACGGGAGTAGGGGATGATGAGGTAATCGTAGATGCTACTGATGCTTTGGATAGGCCTAGAGATGAAGAGCGAATGGTGGGAGTCAATGGACGTGATGAAGGGGTGAATGTCAATGCTCGAGTTAAGCATGTTAAACCACGTAAAATGCGAAAGAAGTCAGAACGAATCATTAAACTGAAGCTTGCAAAAAATGTAGGAGGTGAAGGTAGCAGTGTTGCAACGGCCATGGACTTGGATTAAGTAGTTGTTTGTTATTTGTAGTGAATGTGTGTTGCAGTAAACAAATTATCTTTGTATGTTCTTTTATGGTGTACTACGAATATTTAGGGGTATTATGGGCATTTTAGCCAAAACAAAGTACACTGACCATTTATGATGTGGGGGTATTTGAGTTATTACTATTTAAATTAACCATTTTGGTTGTGGGGGCATTTTAGTCATTAGAAATTAAATTTAACATTTTGGATGTGAGGGCATTTTAATCATTAGAAATTAAAACCATTTTTGGATGTGGGGGTAGTTAAGTGATTACAAAGTAAATTGGCCATTTTGGATGCAGGGGTAATTAAGTCATTACAAAGTAAACTGGTCATTTTTCATGCAGGGGTAATTAAGTCATTGTAAAAAACAGGGGACTTGTGACTTAATCCATTCAACATGAAAAGGCTATCTTTAGAAAACTTTATTCCATTTTTTTTTTCCAAAAAAGGTTTGCGGACAAGCAGATATGGTTCAATCGTGTGCAAAGGTATTTTTTGTCCCTTTTCCCAAACTACACCATTTGTGGTCCCTGTCTATGCGCATAAAGAAGGTAAATTCATTTTGCTTTGTCTTGTGGTGCCGTCCCAGTCAATGAAACATATATAATACCCAAATGTTTCTTTCTTTCATGCACACATACAGATACAGGTGAAATACAAATTTGTTTTTTTAATAATAACATATTAAAACACATTTCACCCATGGGTTTGTTTACATTGCTTTCTGCTATTCAATAACCTATTACAGAGATCATCGACAAAAAACGATGACAAATCAGCAGCCCAGCAACACCACCACCAAATCTACAGACCAACATCACAAACTAATACCAGCAACCCACACAAAATCTACTACTATTTGACACTAAACAACATAGGCAACACACCAAAACACAAACCTAGGAGTGAAATGCTTCAACCTACACAACATTTTTTTACTTAAACACCAAATACGTCACCACAGACGCACAAACAACACCAAAAATCCCAACACAAGACATCAGCTTCTTACGTTTGTTGTCCTTGAAGACCATCTTCACATATGCTCCTTGCAGAGAAACGAGATGATTTTTATGATCAGCAACCATATGTGAGATATCCATCTAATTAGCGCGAACGTCATCGACCTCAAGGTTCATGGCATCTAAGTGTTGATTAACTGTCTGATGGAGCTCACGCAACTGGTCTTGGAAGTCCTCCCGTATAAGAGACAGTTCCATCTGGGTTTGCAGTAGACTGATGGCCATGTCTTCGTTGGTTACACCATTTGAATGATTCTCATCCATGTGACGGCCGTAATTTGGAGACCAACTGTGTTCTGCACGTCCACTCGAAGCCATTTTGGAGTAAACTCAGAGACAAGATTGGGGTAATGAAGTTTGCAGATGCGCCCTTTTAGGTCAACGAAATCTTCATTTTATATGGAGGTGCTAGAATTGTCGATCCTTGCTCCTTACGATTCGCCTTCAATACGACGTCGTTGCCGTTCTTGGACAATTTAACTTCTTGCCATGTCATCGCTTACGTGTTAGGCTAGGTTTATGTGGCAACGTTAACCGGATACAATAGGTAAAAGGGACTATATTGTTAGGTAACAAATAATTCGTTCCCTTATTAAGCCACAAAATAAGTTAACTGGCTAAATGGGTCAACCCTAGAAACATTATAGGGCCTATACGTCATTTTCCCTAAGTTAATCTGTGACCTTTGGGACTGGAACAAGTAAACTCTGAGGGGTGTTCTACACCTAATCGCCTAAAGCAAAATTGTTTGGGACTGATTGGGTTGAAAATTCGCTACACGGATTCCATAGAAAGTCATGAACTTAATAATAATAAATAAAGCTAATTTGTGGCCTTTGAGGTTCGGGCAAGTAAACCCGAGGGATCCCTTTTAAATCTAGCACACTAAGGTCATTTGGTATGGATGTGTTGGTTGGAAGTCCGTTACACGGATTTCAAAGAAAGTCATGAGCTTTATTTGTAGGAAAATGCAATTAGATAGTTTATATATATTTGTGTTTATAGTTTAATTGAATAATATGTTTAGGAAAAATGTTTGACTGTCAAAAGATTCCTTTAGATTTAGATTTGGACTTATGACATTGGGACTGAATGTTAATTACTTTGACTGGAGTAAGTGGTTTGAAACTTGTAACCAATTTGGGTACATTTTAGGGAATTTTTAGAAAAGATTTTTTAGAAAACGATTGTTGTTGGTCAACAAAATAGTTGGATTTGGTCATTGATATAATTTGCAAAACAAAATTCATTGAGCATGTTTTTATGACATATCTTTTACACAAAAATAAGACTGTCTATTGTTCCGTTTGCTAACTCGATACCAGTAACCTTGTTTTGGGTTGTGCTAAGGAGTAATTAAGTCTTAATATGGTAATGTTTAATTTTATGATAAGACTAAATTGGTTCAAAGAATGTGGTGTTTTTACATACTCTTAATTGTTTGATATGGATGAGGTTATGGTTTGGATGATGTTTTGTTTTCCATGTATAGTTTTGAAAAGTTTAGTTATTAGTTTTGTTTATTTCTTTTCTTCTTTCCGGTTCATTCCCGACTTGGTATTTCTTGCGGACAAGAAATGTTTAAGTTTGAGGAGATTTGTTAGGTTCATTTTTACGTATCATTTTAGTACATCTTGTTAATTATTTTCACGACATATTGTGTATATTTAGTATGCATTTCATACATTTTTATTACATCGTTAGTTTGAGACAATTTTACTCGTTTAAGCTTAATTTGTGCAGATTTATGTAAGTGGATAATAATATTTTTGAGGACGGATACAAGTCACATGGAAGGCCTTGCATTTACGATTGAAGTTCCATGACAACATCCACGATAAAGCAATAAAACGAATCGATTTAAGATTTTTTGAAAAATTGGCAGCAATGCGCGGTCTTCGTAAAGTGATTGGATCGAGGGGTAAACGTGGTCCGATCGAGCTAAAATTTTACTGGAGTCTACCTAACCCATATATATTTAATCTGAACGGTGGGGATTGGATTTGAAGGAAGTTTGATGCACATTTTGGTTCTTGAGAACAGCAGCAATGAATCTATCATATATGAGAAAATGGAGCCCACTTTTGTAATCTAAAATTAGCCCAAGCTCATGTATTGTGGCAGCCCAAATCGTGTAAAAAAAATACACAACCAATTTAGTGTTGTTTGGCTGAATTTTAACAACCCATGCTAACATACTCAATAGCCCAAGATCAGATTTAAAGCCCATTGTTATAGCAAACATGTCTCGATTATTAAGATTAATTCAGCCTGAAAAAAAAAAAAAAAAAAAAAAAAAAAAAAAAAAAAAAAAAAAAAAAGAAGAAGAAGAAGAAGGGGGAATTAGTTATTAAAAAGAGGGGGCACGCATTTTTCTTTGGGGGGAGTTCATGGGACGCACGGCAAAAATAGAAAAAAGAAGAACGAGAAGGCCATTTGAGGGTTTTCTAAGTTTCAAGCATCAAAACAATATTGTGAATTCTTTTAGTTTTATTTTTCATTGATTGAATTGTAGTTTACGGGGGTTTAGCCGTTTTAAACGGCTAAACCAGCGGATTTGATGTTTGAATTAGTTTAATTATTTAGACTCGTTTTAGATCGTTGTGTGAGATTGTTATTTAGATTTAATACACTCATATCCATATGATTTCTGATTTTCATTAATCTCGTTGTTAAAATTTTAGTTGGGCTTGAGCAACCTGGTTAAAGTTTTAACGATGAATTGCTAATCAATTAATTGAATCCGTAATTGTTCTTTTAATTGGTCTAAGTAGCAAATAATATACTTATGTTATGAAATCATGTTGGTACAATGTAAATTCTCCGAACTTACGTCAGGGTTCATTGTGTTTGGTGTTTCGTTTGTGTTTTAATGCGGCTCTCACCTAATTACAAATTGCTCGTTTGATAATTTTGCAGTGAGTCAGTTCTAATTGAAGCACCCATTTTAGTTAGATAAGTTTGTAGCTTGGTTAAAGAGCTTGTTTTAATCGAGTGTCTGGCAAAACAAGTTGTCAGAGCTTGTTGACAACCGCGGCCAAACTAGGAATTGTATAAAAATCATTGCACGTAACAATCCATGATCACACGTCTAAATCACTCTTTTGGTGCTAATTCAATCATCAACTAGTTAGTACTTTTTAGTATTTATTTATCATATTTTAGTTAACGCATCCGGTTTTGTAGTTTGAACTTCCTTTTTCTGTAGTTGATTATATGATTTGATGTTGCATTTGTATTCTTTCTAGTGAATTTGATTTTGTTTTAATCGGATGTTTGATTTTAATTGTAATTCTTGTTGGCCATTTGAATTAGAGTTTGATCATTCAAGTTATCTATTTTGCAAAATCCATAATTGTTTGCAAAATAGAGTAAGTAACAAGCACTAAATTGAATTCTTTTGAATAAATCTAGTGTAAATCATATTCACACATTCTTACGCTCCCGAGCTTGTGAGGAGTATTGGATTTTGTTGGGAACATTCACACAAAACTTAATGCAACCTTTTGATTTCTATCTAAGAACTTGTTTAGATTAGATTAGAAGGGTTACGTTTAATTCAAAGAGCTTGTTTTGGTTAAACAAGTTGGTGAATGGGAAGTATTAGAGCTTGTTAATGTTTCCAAGTACCAACTTAGATTAGAATTCAACTTGACATCAATCATTATTAGCTTGCATCATTAGGAAAATAGAACTCGAAACCGGATTGTTTTTATTTTTGTTTCTAGTTATCTTTTACCATATTTCAATATAGTTTTATTCATTTTAAAAATCCTCCTCCGTATTTACTTTTTATGCAATAGGAATAAAAACATGACTATTTTGGTGTGTTTATGGAGTAAAACCGAGTCCCTGAGGATCGACCTTGTTTGCCACTATTACTATTATTTTTAAATCATATAAGTGCAAATAGGATTTATTTTTTTGAAGGATTTCACACCCATCACCAATCTTCACCAATCCTTTGCCCCTAACCGGAAAAGGTTTGAGGCACACTTGACCTTCTAGTCATTCGGGCAAAGAACATGTGAAGAAACAATCCTCCACATTAGACAACCATCTCATCGCCACAATTGGGTCCTTGACCCCATCAAAATCTGGGGGCTTCATATTGTCGAAGTCTTGGTACTGGAAAGCTCTCTCCCCTCGAACCCCTACAGCAGCAACAGTCGTGGTAGCTGCAGTAGAGGCATCCTCATAAATTGAAGCATAATGATCCTTGAAGAGATCAATCATAAATGTATTAATAGACCCAAACAACTCCAAGATAGATCCCCATATAGCAGTATCCACCTCAACGACAATCATCTATCGTATCTGATCATTAGCCAACCCTGGCTTATCCTGGCTACCCGCTCCTGATCTGGAACCCAATCCCCTCGTGAATACCATACTGAAAATAAACTAGAATATGTTAAAAATGTCGCAATTCATACCATCATAACCATCCAAACAAACGAAACCCTCAGGGTTTGTGACCTCCTTGCTACGCATACGGGTCATGTGCTTCCAGTAGTATGGGCTCATACTACCTTCCATACCTACCCGTGTTTGTCTCAAGGATCATCAAAAACATCTGATACAATACACAATACATCCTATACACACTTTATTGAGAGTGGCAAAACATTCCTCATCACGGCGGCTGCTCACACACCCACTTATCTATGAAACTTCCACCAACCCTGCAACTACTCATGCATGTTAATCATACATAACACTATATCCTATAGACAGTCAAATACTTGATTCTCCCTAAGCCTACAACCATACAAGGAACAAGAAATAAGGCAAAATCAAACATTCTCATGCTATATAATCCTAGTTATGTACAACTATGATGCACACACTAAGCAACTACAGTAATTATGTCAATTTCATACAAGAAATCCTCCTAGGCTATTAGGCATCATACATAAGACAATTCTATTATGAGATTCCTAAATATCTCTAGCCTATCACTAGCATGTAGTTCTATCATGATTATAATAAGTAAATAACAGTGTGGGTAACTTAGGGTATACTTTCTGCTTCAACTGATCGTACACACTACGTCCTTCTCTAGTTACCTTTGAAAATGACTTTTGAAAACTATTTTGGGGTTTATTTTGAAAACTATCACAGATCCTTAGTTTGCTCTGATACCAACTTGTAACATTCCAAAAATCATGATAAAATTATTCATCTTAACTTAAAAGAAACCATTGTTTTCAACCGAAACCATATCAAATCAAGTATCAAATACAAAAATAAGATCAATGTATCATAAAGTTTCTTAAAAACATGTCACTAAAGGATGTGTACGATCACGCCTTCGC